ATATGTGTCTCCTGGGTCCCAGCCTGGCAGTTACTGGGTTCTGTTCCACCTTTCCTGTTGCTTGGTCCCAAGTCCCCCGAGCCATCTGTGGGAATTTGAATGTAATTGGCCCCCATAATCTCATAGGGAGTGGCACTACTAGGAGGTGCATCTTTGTTGGAGTTGGTATGGTCTTGTTGGAGAAAGTGTGTCACTGTGGGGGTGGACTTTGAGGATTCCTATGCTCAGGATACCTTCCAGTGTCTTGGTCAACTTCCTATTGCCTTCTGATCAAGATGTAGGACTCAGCTCCAGCACCACATCTGCCTGCTTGCCGCCATGCTCCCCACCATGATGATAATAGACTGAACCTCCGAAACTGTAAGGGAGCCACCCTCAATTAAATGTTCTTCTTTACAAGAGTTGCCGTGGTCATGGTGTCTCTTCACAACAATAGAAACCCTCACTAAGACAGCATTCCTGACCTCTGCCAGTCATACCTGATGGCCTAGCCCCAGGGGGTCCACTCTCAGCCCTGTCTTTCCAGTCTACCTGCCAAATGGAACAGGGAAGATAAGCAAGGGAGAGCTAGCTGCTTTCTACAGGCTGCCTCACTTCAGCCTCACACCAACGTGCTGTGAGGCGAGGGTTAATGGTGAAAAACCGGCAACTCAGAGAAGCGGGGCATCTGCCCCAAGTCATAAGCCTGTTAAAGCACGATAGAGGAACCGGAACCCAGGGATGCCACACTCTGCATTAACATATCATGCTGCATCTATGTTCATGTCCTGCCTTCCTCTGACTTATTTGCATATCTCCCAGGCCTAATAATCTTTCTGGCTTCCTCTTCAACCCATAACTCACCCTCCCACCTCCAACAGCTCCTCTCTTCTGGACTCCTAGGGCAAAAGGCTGCCTGGTATTTAGTTCACAAATAAAGAGAATGATGATGCCTCACCTCCAGCCTCCACTGCTCTAGGAAAGAGCCCAAAATGCCTCAGCAGGTCATAAGTGAGTTTCTGAGTCCTCTCCTGGTGTTTCCAGCCTCACCTGGCCTTGTATCTTCTTCCTTCGCTAGGTTTCAATCATGCTTAGTCTCCTGTCGGAACAAGCTGCTGCCAGAACAAGTACCCAATAGATTGGCCTACAGTAGTTACTGTAACAGGGAGATTTTTATTATCTTGTTATCTGATGCCAGAATTTCTTTTTTTTTCTTTTCTTTTTTTTTTTTTTTTTTTTTT